AGGACTCGATGCGGCTTACAAAGGCCAAGGCCTCAACGTAACAACAACAAACAATAACAATGCAAGCAAATTAAAAACATAAGCAATAACACAACAAAACATTACACTATTGACATGAGGGAGTTGCAGTAGCTCCTGAAATCAAAGAGCATTCCGAATTCCCCAATAATGGGATTCAACCAAACTTGGCATACAGAACTCCCACAACCAATAGATTCATCATAGTTTGTGGCAGCCACACAAACAAAGTTTCTGGAGGAGGACAACTACTTTCAAAGTAAGGGACGCACAATTAAACAGGAAATAACACTTTCAAACCAGGAACAGATTTTTGTTCTCCAAGCAGGAGATCAGAAGAGGAGGACTTTATTATTATTATTATTATTAAGTTGGTTTATACACCACTTTTTGATTGAGGGACGTTCCAGTCAGGCCCTTTATCCCAGGATCTGATCCCAGGTGGATTATATGAGTCTGCACTGCCAAATAACCCGGGATAAACAGAAAACCTAGGATCAGATCCTGGGATATAGGGCCTGTCTGGAAGGGCACTCAAAGGGCCCTTACAAACAGCCATATAACCCAGGATATCAAGGCAGATAATCCACAATAACTGCTTTGCACTGCATTATCACAGTCCACACTGCTTCATAGAATCCTAGAATCAAAGAGTTGGAAGAGACCTCATGGGCCATCCAGTCCAACCCCATTCTGCCAAGAAGCAGGAATATTGCATTCAAATCACCCCTGACAGATGGCCATCCAGCCTCTGTTTAAAAGCTTCCAAGAAGGAGCCTCCACCACACTCCGGGACAGAGAGTTCCACTGCTGAACAGCTCTCACAGTCAGAAGTTCTTCCTAATGTTCAGATGGAATCTTCTTTCTTGTAGTTTGAAGCCACTGTTCCACGTCCTAGTCTCCAGGAAGCAGAAAACAAGCTTGCTCCCTTCTCCCTGTGGCTTCCTCTCACATATTTATACATGGCTATCATAGCTCCTCTCAGCCTTCTCTTCTTCAGGCTAAACATGCCCAGCTCCTTAAGCCGCTCCTCATAGGGCTTGTTCTCCAGCCTTGATCATTTTAGTCGCCCTCCTCTGGACACATTCCAGCTTGTCAATATCTCTCTTGAATTGTGGTGCCCAGAATTGGACACAATATTCCAGATGTGGTCTAACCAAAGCAGAATAGAGGGGTAGCATTACTTCCTTAGATCTAGACACTACCAGTTCAGTGTGGAATTTATATAGCTGTGTAGAAAGGACCAAAGCAGCTTGCATTTCAATACGTTTTCAAATCAACAAATATATGAAATATTACAACAGAAGTAAATATCACTGGTATTCTTTAGAGCAGGCATGGGCCAACTGGGGCCCTCCTTGTGTCCTCTGGAGTATTGGCTCTCCCTCCCAATTTGGTGTCATCTGCAAACTTGATGATCCTGCCTTCTAACCCTTCCTCTAAGTCATGTTACCTTTTTAGCGATTTCCACCCCTGTTTTCTTCCATAGTTCTTCCTTTCTCCTTCTTGTCATGTTCTTGACCAGGAATTTAGTCTTATCTTTGTTTATATTAAGCCCTGCCACTTCACCGAATGATTCGATTTCTGTCCACCATCTAGTGGGTCCTCCATTATACACATCACGTCGTCCGCGAATGCCGCTACTTTGTAATTATGTGACCTCACTTTTAACCCTTTAATTTCTTGATTTTTTTCTGATGCTTTCCAGCATTACTTCTAGGGTCATGATAAAGATTAATGGAGATAATGGGTATCCCTGCCTAATTCCTCTATTTATTTTAATTAGTTCGGAGGTTTGTCCGTTCACTATAATTCTGGCGGACTGCTGTGAGTATATTGTCTTAATCACATTTATAAAATGAAAACCAGCGTCCATTTCTTTTAATAATTCAGTTATGAATCCCCAGTTGACCCTGCCAAAGGTCTTTTCGGCATCCAAAAATAGAAGTCCTACCTCTTTTTGTATGTGCTTTTCGTAATTTTCTATTGTATTAAAGATCAATCTAGTGTTGTTATTTATCTGACGTCCTGGCAGAAAGCCGGGTTGATCTTCATTTATCCTTGTGTTTAGGACCTTTTTTAGTCTTGCTGCTATTACTCCCGCGGATATTTTATCATCGACATTAAGCAAGGAGATTGGTCGAAAGTTTTTAACTTTTGTGTTATCTTGGTCTTCCTTTGGTATTAACGTTATGTGTGCAGTCCTCCATGTCTCGGATATCTTCCTCTCCTCCAGGGCTCTGTTTATTACTTTTGTTAGGTGTGGTGTTAATACATCGCTGAAGATTTTATAATATTTGTCCGTAAGTCCATCAGGGCCTGGGGATTTGTTTGTTGGTAGATCCGCTATTATCTTCCGTATTTCCTCTTCCGTAGCCGTCCTGTTCAGTATTTCCCTTTCTTCCTCTGTCAGCTTCTTTATTTTCTGTTTTCCCAGGTAGTGTATTACCTTTTCTTTGCGGATGTTGTCATCTGCATATAATTTCTTATAGAATTTACGAAATTGTTCTTCAATATCCGACTGGTTAACATAACTTTTCCCCCCTTCTTCTATTTTGTTTATCTGCTGTTTCTGTTTTCTCCTAATTTTCCATGCTAGTTATCTCCCTATTTTGTTGGCATTTTCGAAGGGATTTTGTTTCATATATTTTAGCTTTTGACTTATTTCCTCTAATTAAAGTTAGTCTATTCTTTTCCTTAGTATATCCAATTGTAGGCACATTTTCTTATTATCTGGGGTTTTTTTTTTTGTTCTGCCTCTGTTTTTTGGATTTCCTCCTTTATCTTTCTAAGTTCACCATTCCTTATTCTATTTCTCTTTGCTTTCTATTGAATAAAGTGGCCTCTTATATATGCTTTAGATGTGTCCCATATGATACCTATTGTCGTGTCTTGTTCTGTGTTGGTCTTAAAGAACTCTTCCAATATCTTCTTATTGACCTCCTGATCCTTATGCTCTCTTAATCATCTAACCTCCATTTAAATATTCTTTTCCCATTGTCTGTTTTTTCAAGGGTTACTTCTAATGGAGAATGATACGAATTTATTCTCGCCAGGATTCTAACTTTTGTTGTTTTTGATACAATTGCCTCTGTTCCCCATATCATATCTATTCGGGGTCATGTATTATGTCGGTTCGAGAAGAAAATAAAGTCCTGTTCGTCTTTATGGTGACATCTCCAAATATCCTGCAATCCTAGATTTTCTTTTAGCACCTTAAAGTCTCTTGGAAGTTCTCCCATATAGTAGTTGTTTGTTTTTTTAACTCCCTTTGTTTTATCCATTTTGCTATTTAAAACCCCATTAAAGTCACCCATGATGATTAGATCATCGTGTGGCCAGGAAATCAGAAGACGCTTCCTTCTTAGGAGGAGAGCAATGTCCAGTCTCGATAAAATAGTAAAGAGTAGAGACATCACACTGGCAACAAAGATCCGCATAATCAAAGCCATGGTCTTCCCTGTAGTCACCTACGGATGTGAGAGCTGGACCTTAAGGAAGGCTGAGTGAAGGAAAATAGATGCTCTTTGAACTGTGGTGTTGGAGGAAAGTTCTGAGAGTGCCTTAGACTGCGAAAAGATCCAACCAGTCCATCCTCCAGGAAATTAAGCCCAACTGCTCACTGGAGGGAAGGATACTAGAGACAACGTTGAAGTCCTTTGGCCACATCATGAGGAGACAGCAAAGCCTAGAGAAGACAATTATGCTGGGGAAAGTGGAAGGGAAAAGGAAGAGGGGCCGACCAAGGGCAAGATGGATGGATGGCATTCTTGAAGTGGACTGACCTTGAAGGAGCTGGGAGTGGTGACGGCTGACAGGGAGCTCTGGCGTGGGCTGGTCCATGAGGTCACGAAGAGTCGGAGACGACTGAATGAATGAACAACATTCCTGTTCTAATATCTTCTTGTATAGTGATTCTATAAATTTCGTTTTAGTTCCGTTTGGGGCATAGATATTACACAATAGCACACTCCTCCCATCAAACTCTATAATTATGCCTAGGATTCTTCCCTCTTGGTCTTTGAATACCTGTTTCGATGGAATCCTTTTGTTAACATATGTTACTACCCCCCTTTTCTCCCCCCCCCCCGATGCATAATACATTTTCCCCAGTTTCTTTTGTGTTAAGTGGGCCACATATTTCTGGCAGATATGGGTTTCCTGCAAAGATTCTATATAAAACTGTCCTTTCTTAAGTTGGTGCCAAATTTTTGTTCTTTTATTTGGGTTATTTAAACCATTTACATTGTTTGAATATATTTTAATGCACTTTAATATTGCTTTAGGATTGCCTATGCGCCCGCATCTTTCTTTGAAAACCCTATCCTAGTTTACCTTACCTTGTTTCATGCCCAGCATTTTATATTTTAATTATTACATTTGGCTTAAATGCTGTATGTTGTTATTGTTTATTGCTTATTGTGTATTTTTTGTTTATGAGTTTTATTTTAACTATTTGTATTGATTATTTGTTATCGCTTTTGTTTATTGATGTGCTGTGGGCATGGCCTCATGTAAGCCTCACCGAGTCCCTTGGTTAGATGGTAGCGGGGTGCAAATAAAGTTGTTATTATTATTATTATTATTATTATTATTATTATTATTATAGGAAAGCTTCACGCTGCCATTTTAGCAGCCCATACCTTTGTTGTCTTCTGTGTGTTCCCTTGAGACCCTTGCAATTCCCATGAAGGGAAAAAGGGGAGAAGGTTTCTGGCTTTCATCCTTTCAATCTTTTATTTCTTCTTTCTTCACCAGGGAAAGGAACATTCTACGGAGCCACATTTGTCAAGATAAGAAACAATTCAACATCTGGTAGACATTGAAGAATTTAGATTTCAAAAGTGCAGTAAAGAAACCAGACATATAGGAAGAAGAAATACTCCGAAAGTGCCGATCTGGCTGAACTCTTTGGCTCACTCATACTTCAGAAAAGGAAAGTGTCTATCTTGCATTTTAAAGAACCAACATGGAGAGACAATCATATCAATGTACTGAATGTGGAAAGGGTTTTAGTCAGCAGACACTTCTGCAGTTACATGAAAGAACTCACACTGGTAAGAAACCCTACACATGTCTGGAATGTGGGAAGAGCTTCACTCACAGTACACATCTGCGTTCACATGCAACAACTCATACTGGGGAGAAACCCTATGAATGCCCAGAGTGTGGAAAGAGTTTCACTTGGAGTGGAAGTCTACGTTCACATCAAAGAGTTCACACTGGGGAGAAACCCTATGAATGCCTGGAGTGTGGAAAGAGTTTCACTCAGAGTGGACATCTACGTTCACATCAAAGAGTTCATACTGGGGAGAAACCCTATGAATGCCTGGAGTGTGGAAAGAGTTTCACTCGGAGTGGATGTCTACGTTCACATCAGAGAACCCACACTGGAGAGAAACCCTATAAATGCCCAGAGTGTGGAAAGAGTTTCACTCGGAGTGGAGAGCTACGTTCACATCAAAGAGTTCACACTGGGGAGAAACCCTATGAATGCCTGGAGTGTGGGAAGAGTTTCATTCAGAGTGGAGAGCTACATTCACATAAGAGAATCCACACTGGGGAGAAACCCTTTACATGCCCAGAGTGTGGAAAGAGTTTCACTTGGAGTAGAAGTCTATGTTTACATCAAAGAGTTCACACTGGGGAGAAACCCTATAAATGCCTGGAGTGTGGAAAGAGTTTCACTTGGAGTAGAAGTCTACATTCACATCAAAGTGTTCACACTGGGGAAAAACCCTATAAATGCCTGGAGTGTGGAAAGAGTTTCACCCAGAGTGGAGAGCTACGTTCACATCAAAGAATTCACACTGGGGAGAAACCCTATAAATGCCTGGAGTGTGGAAAGAGTTTCACTCGGAGTGGTCATCTACGTTCACATCAGAGTGTTCACACTGGGGAGAAACCCTTTAAATGCCCAGAGTGTGGAAAGAGTTTCACTCAGAGTGGTCATCTACGTTCACATCAAAGAGTTCACACTGGGGAGAAACCCTATGAATGCCTGGAGTGTGGAAAGAGTTTCACTTGGAGTGGAGACCTACATTCACATCAGAGAACCCACACTGGGGAGAAACCCTATGAATGCCCAGAGTGTGGAAAGAGTTTCACTCAGAGTGGGCAGCTACATTCACATAAGAGAATCCACACTGGGGAGAAACCCTATACATGCCCAGAGTGTGGAAAGAGTTTCACTTGGAGTGGAGAGCTACGTTCACATCAAAGCGTTCACACCGGGGAGAAACCCTATGAATGCCTGGAGTGTGGAAAGAGTTTCACTTGTAGTGGAAGTCTACGTTCACATCAAAGCGTTCACACTGGGGAGAAACCATATAAATGCCTGGAGTGTGGAAAGAGTTTCACTCGGAGTGGAAGTCTACGTTCACATCAAAGAGTTCACTCTGGGGAGAAACCCTATGTATGCCTGGAGTGTGGAAAGAGTTTCACTCAGAGTGGGGCCCTACGTTCACATCAAAGAGTTCACACTGGGGAGAAAGCTTTTAAAATGCCTGCAATGTGGAAAGAGTTTCACTCAGAGTGGGGCCCTACATTCACATCAGAGACATCAGAGAACGCACACTGGGAAGAAACTTTAAATGTCTCAAATGTGGAAAGAGCTTCCCTGAGAGTGGAGAATTACATAAACATAATAGAACCCAGATAGAGATGAATTGAGGCTTCTTGGTGTAAATAGATACTAAGATGCTTTTTTTCTTGGTTTCTCTCTCTCTCTCGATACATTGTTGACTATCCTGGAATGTGATTTATTTAAGAGGAAATAATAATAATAATAATAATAATAATAATAATAATAATAATAATGATGATGATAATCCATTAGAACAAATGCCATCAAAGCCAGAATTGAAAAGTCGATGACAGATCCCAAGTGTAGACTCTGCAAGGAAGCAGGTGAAACAATAGATCACATCCTCGGCTGCTGCAAGAAGATCATGCAGACAGACTACAAGCAGAGGCACAACACCATTGCTCAGATGATTCATTGGAACTTGTGCCAAATACCATCTGCCTGCGACAAAGAACTGATGGGATCACAAGCTGGAAAAAATTACAGAAAATGAACACATCAAACTACTCTGGGACTTCCAAATTCAGACTGTCAGAGTTATGGAGCACAATACTCCTCACGATCAGGTTAAAAAAGAAAGTATGGATCGCTGATGTTGCAATCCCAGGTGACAGTAGGACTGAAGAGAAACAACTGGAAAAGCGGACATGATATGAGGATTTAAAGATTGAACTGCAAAGACTCTGGCACAAGCCAGTCAAGGGTGTCCCAGTGGTGATCGGCACACTCTGTGCAGTGCCTCAAGACCTTGGCCTGGGCTTAAACACAATAGGTGCTGACAAAATCAACACCTGCCGGCTGCAAAAGGCCACCTTACTGGGATCTGCATGCATTATTCACCGATACATCACACAGTCCTAGAGACTTGGGAAGTGTCCGACGAGTGATCCAATACAACAGCCAGCAGAGTGATCTCGTTTGCTGTGGACTCATCTGGTTGTGTTTCAAATTATTATGATTATTATGATTATGATTATTATTATTGTACTTTGCTTCCATCTCCTGGGAGGGATGTGAGACGGCTTACATAGGGACCAAGTCTGATCATCATAGTTAAAATGTAACACATTAAAAGCATAACAGCAGCATCAAAACAAAATAAAAGAACAGCATTATAACAAAATATAAAACAACCATCGAACTAACAACCAATGGACCTGAAATAGTGACCGGTTTTTGGCACGGAGGGCTAACTAGTGCAGTCAATTGTAAGGGAAGGGCTGATAGAAAAAGTGCATAAGTCAAAGGGCAAAATTAGGGATAGAGGGCAATGTAAAACAGAACATTATATCTTTAGGTAGAGAATGGTAGTAAAGTACAAGGACGAAATTTTGGATCATACCTGGGGCCATAATTGGGGGATTATCTAATCAAAAGCACGATGGAACATCCATGTCTTTAGATCTTTGTGGAAGATGGAAAGGGTGAGTGTTAGGCTGATCTCCCTGGGGAGGGAGTTCCAGTGCCACCACCGAGAAGGAGACGAGGATGCAGAACAATGGCTGCAAACTACAAGAAAGGAGATTCCATCTGAACATTAGGAAGAACTTCCTGACTATGAGAGCTGTTCAGCAGTGGAACTCTCTGCCCCAGCCTGTGGTAGAGGCTCCTTCTTTGGAAGCTTTTAAACAGAGGCTGGGTGGCCATCTGTCAGGGGTGCTTTGAGTGCAATTTTCCTGCTTCTTGGCAGAATGGGGTTGGACTGGATGATGGCTGAGGAGGTCTCTTCCAACTCTGTGTTTCTATCTGTAACTGGATTGATAAGAAATATACTCATATGTATATGGAATGTACCTGTACGCTGTATACATAAAGTTCGTAAGTAAGTAAACTATGTATAACCTTTAACAAAAAACAATCTATTTTGTTTCTTGAGAGCATGATTTAAACCAAGTGTGACGGAGCCCGTATATTACTGCTACTAATTGTAAAGGCTTGGCCACTAATTTGCAATGATGCCACGAAATTGTAAGGATGTATGAATATCACTGCTACTAATATGTAGAGAGTTGGTAAAAGGAGTCACCTCTTTGTGAAGGCTTATTAAAATGATGACACAACCAATAGCTTGTAATGTTGCTTTGGTCTTTCTTTAATATGTGGCGTGACTTGGAAAAGAATGGCAACATAGGCTTGGCTTCAAAAAGAAACTGTAACAAGTCTATTGAGGTCCAGAAGCTTGATGGTTTCAAAGTTTCTCTTCTCTTAGGGGTACAGGGTGACAGAGCCCGTATATTACTGCTACTAATTGTAAAGGCTTGGCCACTAATTTGCAATGATGCCACGAAATTGTAAGGATGTATGAATATCACTGCTACTAATATGTAGAGAGTTGGTAAAAGGAGTCACCTCTTTGTGAAGGCTTATTAAAATGATGACACAACCAATAGCTTGTAATGTTGCTTTGGTCTTTCTTTAATATGTGGCGTGACTTGGAAAAGAATGGCAACATAGGCTTGGCTTCAAAAAGAAACTGTAACAAGTCTATTGAGGTCCAGAAGCTTGATGGTTTCAAAGTTTCTCTTCTCTTAGGGGTACAGGGTGACAGAGCCCGTATATTACTGCTACTAATTGTAAAGGCTTGGCCACTAATTTGCAATGATGCCACTAAATTGTAAGGATGTATGAATATCACTGCTACTAATATGTAGAGAGTTGGTAAAAGGAGTCACCTCTTTGTGAAGGCTTATTAAAATGATGACACAACCAATAGCTTGTAATGTTGCTTTGGTCTTTCTTTAATATGTGGCGTGACTTGGAAAAGAATGGCAACATAGGCTTGGCTTCAAAAAGAAACTGTAACAAGTCTATTGAGGTCCAGAAGCTTGATGGTTTCAAAGTTTCTCTTCTCTTAGGGGTACAGGGTGACAGAGCCCGTATATTACTGCTACTAATTGTAAAGGCTTGGCCACTAATTTGCAATGATGCCACTAAATTGTAAGGATGTATGAATATCACTGCTACTAATATGTAGAGAGTTGGTAAAAGGAGTCACCTCTTTGTGAAGGCTTATTAAAATGATGACACAACCAATAGCTTGTAATGTTGCTTTGGTCTTTCTTTAATATGTGGCGTGACTTGGAAAAGAATGGCAACATAGGCTTGGCTTCAAAAAGAAACTGTAACAAGTCTATTGAGGTCCAGAAGCTTGATGGTTTCAAAGTTTCTCTTCTCTTAGGGGTACAGATCTTTAATGGTTACATTCATAACCGTTCTTAAATAACTCTTAGGAGGTCTAATTCTTCTGACAAACAGGTCCCAAACTTAGTTCCTTTAAAAAGACATGTTTCTTTCTTTCTTTAACAGGTTGTTTCAGGCACACGCTTATGCCTTTCTTTATGATGGTTCCGTTACAATAAAGATGCTTATTAGGACTTCCCCACAACAGTTACTTTTAATATATACTAGCCGTCCCCTGCCAGGCGTTGCTGTGGCCCAGCCTGTTGATCTGGAAAATAAAGTAATGAGAAAGTGTTGGTTTCTAATATATGTCATGTCTTTCTGCTTGGGGGTAAACAGTATTTCTTGCCGTTTCTTTGTCAGTGTTGATGTGGAGACTGTCTGGTTTGCCCACCCTGGAACATGCAACATATCATTGTCCTTCTTTAAATGTCCCTTTCAAATCTATGATACTATAACTGAGTGTGTGTGTGAATCATATCTATCTATCTATATCTATCTATCTATATCTATCTATAGCTGGATGGCTCTTTGTCAGGAGGACTTTGATTACGTTTTCTTGCCCTGATGAAGGAAGTTGGATTGGATGGACTTAAGTATTTTCTGTTGGTCATGGGGGTTCTGTGTGGGAAGTTTGCCCCGATTCTGTCGTTGTGGGGTTCAGAATGCTCTTTGATTGTAGGTGAACTGTGAATCCCAGTGACTACAACTCCCAAATGTCAAGGTCTATTTCCCCCAAACTCCATCTGTGTTCATATTTGGGCGTATTGAGTGCTTGTGCAAAGTGTGGTCCACCATGCTCTCTGGATGTAGGTAAACTACAACTCCCAAACTCAAGGTCAATGCCCACCAAACCCTTCCAGTATTTTCTGTTGGTCATGGGAGTTCTGTGTGCCAAGTTTGGTTCAATTCCAGCGTTGGTGGAGTTCAGAATGCTCTTTGATTGTAGGTGAACTATAAAGCCATGTATAAATATGTGAGAGGAAGTCACAGGGAGGAGGGAGCAAGCTTGTTTTCTGCTTCCCTGGAGACTAGGACGCAATGGAACAATGGCTTCAAACTACAAGAGAGGAGATTCCATCTGAACATGATGAAGAACTTCCTGACTGTGAGAGCCGTTCAGCAGTGGAACTCTCTGCCCCGGAGTGTGGTGGAGGCTCCTTCTTTGGAAGCTTTTAAAGCAGAGGCTGGATGGCCATCTGTCGGGGGTGATTTGAATGCAATGTTCCTGCTTCTTGGCAGAATGGGGTTGGACTGGATGGCCCATGAGGTCTCTTCCAACTCTTTGATTTTATGTTAGAGCTGTTCAGCAGTGGACCTCTCTGCCCCACACTGTGGTTGAGGCTCTTTCTTTGGAGGCGTTTAAACAGAGGCTGGGTGGTCATCTATCGGGGGTTCTTTGAATGCAATTTTCCTGCTTCTTGGCAGGGGGTTGGACTGGATGGCCCATGAGGTCCTCTTGGATTCTATGTGAGAGCTGTTCAGCAGTGGAACTCTCTGCCCCGGAGGGAGTGTGGTGGAGGCTCCTTCTTTGGAAGCTTTGAAACAGAGGCTGGATGGCCATCTGTCAGGGGTGCTTTGAATGCAATGTTCCTGCTTCTTGGCAGAATGGGGTTGGACTGGATGGCCCATGAGGTCTCTTCCAACTCTTTGATTTTATGTTAGAGCTGTTCAGCAGTGGAACTCTCTGTCCCGGAGGGAGTGTGGTGGAGGCTCCTTCTTTGGAAGCTTTTAAGCAGAGGCTGGATGGCCATCTGTCGGGTGCTTTGAATGCAATATTCCTGCTTCTTGGCAGGGGGTTGGACTGGATGGCCCATGAGGTCTCTTCCAACTCTAAGATTCTATGATTTGTAGCCTTCCTGTTTTCTGTGTTTCAATCAAAGTTGGTTTTGAGCATCCAAAAGGGAGAGAGATTATGGGATGCCAGGGGAAAGGGAGGAAAGGGGAGGGGCTTCTGGGTCCGTGGGCCCCTCCCTGGGGGCGGTGGGGGGGGGCAGTGCTGACCACAGGCACACACACACCCCCAAAGGCACACCTAGAAACCTTGGTGCTTTTGTGGGCGAGTTCCCTTTGGAGTCAAGGAAGGAAGGAAGGAAGGAAGGAAGCAGGTAAAGGGCAGCCTTTGGGGGTGGGAGGGGGAGGCACACGGCCGGAGACCCCCGTGGGCACTCTGGCCCCTTCCAAGGCAGGGGAAGGGAAGGGGTGGGGTGGGGGGTTTCAGAGGGGCTTCTCTCCAGACCAGGCAAACGGGGGTC